GTCAGAGGAGGCTTTCTCTATGATGTAAGTGATGCTGGACCCGTTTTCTGGCTTGTATAATTCAAAAGCAGCCGTCGTATGAACCAGGCCGGAGTGCCTGGATCATACGACATCTGGCTGCCCTTTGGGAAAAAACAAAAGAAGAAAAAAAAAGAAATGGGAAAATAGTAAAATATCTGTTGTTTTGCCGGACTGCGGGTCTCGCTCCACTACCCACCAATTGTGCTCAAAATGAGAACGAATCTTCCGTGTGCTCAAAATGAGAACGAATCTTTTCCGTGTGCTCAAAATGAGAACGAATCTTCGGTGTGCTCAAAATGAGAACGAATCTTCCACCAGGCCATGGAAATGTACGCTGCGATTTTTTTTTTTTTGGGCTGGTGTGCATGTGACGAGTAGTGGAGTGAGGCCCTGTTAGTCAAAAGTGGTTGGCGCCTGAGACTAGTATTCTAATCCACTTATGGTCATTATGGCTGTATCTGGACTTCAAGTTGTCCCAAATTCAGTTACAATGATTGTACGATCCTCTCGACGGAAGAAGACGTATGAAGGAAGCATTCAGATGTAGATCAGTGAGAGAATGTTGGGCGGCAGTATGGCCCACAAGCCACTCATTTAGGATTTCCGAGTTGAAAGTGAAACTGAATTTCTAAGTGGGAACCGAACTGAATTTGCGGTGCAGCCGTGTGGAATGGTTGTGCTGCTGCTGCTGACGATGATGATGCGAAAAGGATAGGGGAGATGGCTTGCAAGCAGAGAAGATGCAGGGCGCTTGTTCTTTGTTGTGAAGTGTCCAGATTCGTTTTGGTGAATCTGGTCATGCAAAGTGTTAAGGTTACAACAGTGTGCTGTCGGTCTCCTACTGCAAATCAGGGCTGTTTTGCGACCCGACATTCAAGCAGGTACATTCTATTATCTGGTCTGGGTTGAATGCATATGAACTCTGGATATGTATAGTTGTGGGGACATGGATTATTCCCTCCCTTCTCTCTCTCTCTCTCTCTGCATGTATGTGCTTGATTGCATGTCTCCCTCTCGCCCTCTGTGGTGGTCGGTATGACTATGATATGTATAGTTGTGGGGACATGGATTGTTCCCTCCCTTCTCTCTCTCTCTCTCTGTGCATGTATGTGCTTGATTGCATGTCTCCCTCTCGCCCTCTGTGGTGGTCGGTATGACTATGTGTGCACTTGGATGTGTATGGGTTTCTGTGTGTGCAAGGTTTGTGCCTGTGTGTGTATGTGTGTGGGTGGAGAGAGAGAGAGAGAGAGAGAGAGAGAGAGAGAGAGAGAGAGAGAGAGAGAGAGGACGGATCAAAGGTCAGGATGGGGGCGGATGTGTCAGGATACATCCTAGATTGGTGGTGTGAGCATTTAGGCCTAATGTGGCTTGTTGGGTGTGAGGCGTGTGCCTATGTTACCCCCTCCCTACTGCTTGCAGACATCCTAAATGTCAGACTGCAATTACAGCAGACTGTGTGCATGTGCGTGAGCTGGTGTGAGCATGTCCTAAATGTGCGTGAGCTGTTGTGAGGATGCCCTAAATGTGCGTGAGCGGGTGGGTCTATGTTTCCCCCCTTCCTTCTGTTCACAATCAAACAGCTACACGTCATTTTGCTCCAAAGCAAAGGAGTCCAAAAATCCTCACGAAACAATGCGAACAAATCCTAGTGCCTTTCTACCCCTGTCGTACGCCGTCGGCGGGTTCTCTGGCCCCGTGATATACTGCGGGCGTAGCCGCAGCAGATCGACGTTTCTCCTAGAAAAGAAATGGAGACGGCCTTGTATAGACCTACTGTGGAAATATAGACCAAGGTCATTCACAACGGATTTAGTTCATTCATCTAGGTCCATCTGGATTTGAACCAGGTCCGTCTGGGTTTCAACCCAGGCCTATATTTCCACAGTTCACGGCTGTATCAACTGAGCGGGGCGTGTTGGTTGGAGGACTGCCACTGTGTGTGTGTGTGTGTGTGTGTGTGTGTGTGTTTTGAACAGCTCGAGATGGTGTTAGGAGTGGTGATCAGAGCAGCCACCACTAACACTTTCCAGGCAGGCTCCATCTATTGGTGCGGAGCAGCACCTGCTGGAAATCGGGTCCAGCGTCGCAGAACATCATGCTTGCATGT